TCGGTGTCTGCGTTCTATCTCATGAGTAAAGCTGTATAATATGGCGAGTGCTATCGAGGTTACGCATAAATGTTTAGGTGGGGAGGGTAATTTAGAGGGTTGACGGAATTCTCTTATACAGCCTCTAAATTATTTTCGCGTACCAACAACAAAGCAAAAGCCAACATTTGATCGTCCAAACTAAGTGATATATTTCGGGACCAAAACAAGCCTTCAGACGAACGCTTAGCTAGCTAGTGATCGTGCACGTGACGCGACGGGGTACCAAATGGCGGGGATGCTTGACCGGAAGCCTTCAGCTAAACAAGTCGACTTAAACAGTGGTGGTCAACATCCAATGGTGAGTGATTGCTGTCGTCAATAATTTTGGGGAATTATTTACCGCGAAAGCTCTGTCAATCACGTCTCGTAAACCGTTAATGCCCAGCTCTTGCTACGCTCGGGCCCACGCTGTTCCTTGAAGTTTTCAGAAACGCTTAGTTATAACGGACGCAAAAACCAAAACACCGATAGGCCGCTTGAGATTTCTTTATTGTTACACCAACATATAAAAATAATAACTGAACTAAGGTCTGTGAAGAAATATTACAATAATAAATCGTTAAATTACTTCTGACGATATTTTACTCTTCTTTCTGAACAGAGACCGATGAGACGATGACTGTCGTATTGATGCCTCCGCGAAAATTGGGGAAGTTGATTTTGAGCAAACAACCAAGAATTGATCGTTCAATCTTCAACTCCATTGACAAGCTCACCCCCCCTCTAGTGGGGTGGTGAGGTCCTTAAGTCAGAACCAGCCGGAAGTAAAAAAACTCGATGGTTACCTTTCGGGTGAAAAAATCTTGCGAGCGGCTTGGTGGCATGCCTACTGGTTTGTCTGCCTATGCTGATAGGGTGTTTGTACATAGCTTCCTTGTTGTTGTCGTTGGATCCCGTGCTTCGTTTGTTTCTTTTCCAGTGCCCGTCGCTTTGGAACAGAAAACAAGAACGCTAAGAACCATGTCGAGAAACATGTACCAAATCGGCTTTTTTTTGAAAAATTGATGTGCATTTTCCATACAGTAACATAATGCTAAGTTCAGAACATCGAAAAAAATACATCTAATTAATTTTTTTGTGCATGTTACATGAACTGTTGAAAGAAATTTACTTGTGTTCAGTGGTACTGTATATAAAAAAATTGATACGTCAAAAAAATAGTTAGTACCACAAACGAATGAGTTGCGTGAATCACACGACTTCGTTATGTCATATAAGTGTGCAGATATTCTGGGAACCTTAAGGTGCGTCCAAAACATCAATCAATTCATTCACGGATGTAGAATACTCGAAGCAACTTCAGAAGTAATCACATCGGAAATTTTAACAAAATTACGCAATAACAACAAGGTACGAAAACAACGAGTAAACACAATGAATCCAAAAACAGCAATTGATATGACACACCACACATATATGCAGACAGTACACACAAACTCGCGGATCATATCTTGATGGAATTCCTTTGAAGAATTGCAGGACTTACACCAGTACGCCTACATCCCTTCACAGTTTGACGATTGTAATTTGTGGAATGTCCGGACACACACAAGATTAACCAACGATTACAATAATTGGAACTCACACAAGTATTTAACACAAACATATGTACAATCATCACATCAAATGTTGTGGATTCTGGCACGACAAACTACCCTTGAAGAACTGTAGGACTTACGGCAGTACGCCTACAACCCTTCTCAGGTTGACGCTCTGGGTTGGAAAATCGTCTAGTGTTTCATCCTCCGACTCTCGACTCTCAGAACTTTCCAGTAGACACAGTTTTCTAATATCTCGCACCAACATGCCACAACTTGCTCTCGCCTCAACCGTCCCCACCAATCCATCACCACTACAGAGTAGCCTTACTAACAATCCCAAAGGCCACCTACCTGTGGCACATTTATCTGCTACTAATACTATGTCACCAACCTTTAAGTTTCGGCACAACTTTTTCTACTTGTCTCTGGTTTGCATTGTTAGAACATACTCTTTAACCATCTTTTCCAAAATATATCTTTCATGTGCCTGGCTTGTTTCCATCTTTTAATCGTAGATATTCCTTTCCCGCTTGAGTCCTCCATCCCAGGGTTGCCTCTCAATAACAATAATTTGTTTGGGGTTAACACATCAGAATCCTTGACGTCGACCCTCACAGGTGATAACGACCGGTCATTTAATATTCGTTCAGCTTCACAAAAAATGTCTCCAGCGTTTCGTCATTCAAACTCTGGTTTTTAATTATGGAGCTAAAAATACGCTTGATAATTCCTATAAGTCTTTCCCATAGCCCACCTCTATGGCTGGCATGTGGTGGGTTGAAGTGCCACTCGATGTTCCTTTTCAGTAACTCTTCCTGAACTCTCGTTTGGGGACCTTCGAAGTACTCTTTAAGCTCGGCGTGACAGCCAACAAAATTAGTCCCTCCGTCACTGAACATCATCTTCGGTACACCTCGGCGATTTATAAATCTATGTAACGCTAGCACGAATGAATCTGTAGTTAGCGAATGAACCATCTCAATATGCACAGCTCTCATTTTCAAACAGGTGAATAAACAGCCATATCTTTTACATAGGGTTCTGCCTCTCTTTACCACAAAAGGTCCGAACAAATCCACCCCAACGTACTCAAATGGATAATTCCCTTCAGAAGCTTGCCACGCTGGGAGTGGTGCCATCACCTGCTGTACTGGACGAGCATTTCGGAGTTTGCATTCCATGCACTTATCAATTATTTTACGGACAGCAGTACCTCCCTTCACTATCCAGAACTTACATCGAATACTTGATAGTACTTGCGAAGTACCCAAATGACCTTCAAGAACATGGTAGTGTCTTATAATGAGATCAGTGACTGGGTGGTAGCAAGGTAATAAAGCCGGATGACGGGTCTCATATGACGATTCTAACATTTGTAGACGTCCACCAACTCTAGCGATCCCTTCGGAAACTATCGGAGATAATCTATCTAACCGCACCTTGAAATCTGCGAAATCGGGACTATCCTCCCTGGCAATCTCACCCCACGCTTCCCACTGAGCAGCCCTCAAAATCGCTAACTCTGCATTTCTAAAATCTTCGACTCTCAAAGGCCACACATTCATATTTTCGTATCCCGCAAGATGCATGACCTTTAAATTCGTAACATATCGTGTCAACCACGCAACAGCTTTCAGAAGTTTGTACCAAGAAGAATAATATTTAAAAAGTGGATGTAAACCTGAGTGTCTTTCTTGAGTAGATGTTAAACTGACACTTGTCTTCAACTCCAAGGCACACTCGTTTATCGGCGGTTCATCTTCTCTACGAGGCCACATACTATCAGCCCTTAGCAAGAACTCTGGACCTTTCCACCACTTATTTTTAACCACATTCATATCAATAACTCCTCGCGAGGCTAGATCAGCTGGATTTTTTCCAGACGGTACATACCTCCACTGCTCAACAGTTGTTAGTTCACGAATTTGAGATACTCTGTTAGCTACAAAACATGCATATCTTGCTGACTCGTTGCGTATATAATATATCACAGATATTGAATCAGTACAAAACGCTACGGGATACTTGTAGTAATCCAACTCTTTACACACCGTTGTGAATAACTGCGCAGCTAGTAAGGCGGCATTAAGTTCTAATCTCGGAATCGAAACCGTCTTTAGAGGTGCAACTCTAGATTTACCCATCACCAGGCTAACATCTATATCATTCCTTAAGGTGGTTCTGATGTATACGGCTGCACCAAATCCAACCTCAGAGGCATCAGAAAAGACATGGAAGTCAATTATATCATGATTTCTCGACGGCTTAAGTGGACGTGAGACGGAATGTAGATTCAGCATTCTTAAACTGTTAACCCACCCCTTCCACTCTTCTCTCTGCCTCTCACTTAATGGTTCATCCCACTGTAACCCTTTCCTGCATGTCTCTTGAAATAACCTCCTAGCCGGAAGTAGATAAGGTGCTACTAATCCAAGTGGGTCAAACACGGACGACAACACAGAGAGCACACCTCTCCGAGTAACTGGCTTATCCATATCACCAACACTAAATCCAAAGGTATCAGAGTTCACATCCCATCGCATACCTAATGTGCGTTCAACTGGTAGAGTATCAACAGGCAAATCTCGTACGGTAGGTGCTCTGTCTTCTGGATCTATATGCTTCAAAACGTCTAGGCTGTTCGAGACCCACTTAGTTAGACGAAAGCCGGCCTTAGCTAACACTTCAGTGATGCTTGTTGCAAATCTAACTGCAGACTTATCATCATCGAAGGAGGCTAAACAATCATCCACGTAGAAGCAACAATCTATGACTTTCAGCAAATCATTAGAACCATATTTGGACACTGCCTTTCGTAGAGCAAAATTAGCACAAAACGGGGAGGACGTGGCACCAAATGGATGCACTGTCATCCTATATTCTGACACCTTACCACAAGGACCGTCATCAAACCACAAGAACCTCAAGTGATCTCTGTCACTCTCTGGCACCTTCACCTGTAGGAACATTTCCTCAATATCCGCCGCGACAGCAACTGTAAACTTTCTGAATCTTAATAGCAGTCCCACTAATGAGCTCACGCAATCTGGGCCACTATACAGATTATCATTTAAAGAGACTCCTTCATGTTTCGCAGAACAATCAAACACCACACGGAGTTTACCTGGCTTCCTCGGGTTAAAGACGGGATGATGGGGCAAATACCACTTCCCTGGCTCATTTTGATCAACTAATCTTTCAACGTAACCCTTCATTATATGTTTACCGACGACATCCTTATATTTGGACCAGAGTTCTGCATCCGACAGAAATTTCTTCTGTAAACCCATTAGTCTCTTATGAGCAACTTTCCTATTACAAACCAACTGTCTATCTTTGAATCTCCATGGTAGGCCAACGCTGAAACGCCTGTAGGGGACTAACATTAGAGTTCACTAACATTCCAAGTATAAAAGTAATAATCCAAGTCAGTGGAGTGTTAAATCACAATATATTACCAAAAATACAGTGACGAGTTATAGCAGCAAAAAGGATTACTTGTATATAACGTCTAAGTCCTCGGCTACAAATTAATTATATAATCCACGGGCACGTTAATTGTTTGGACTGCGTCTGCTGTAGCTGCTGTGTTCCGGTTGTAGAAATGTCTTCGGTTGAGAGTAGTAGGCTCCTACAATAAATCCGAAGTATACAACACGGTGTGAGTGGAGCAAGTAAGCAGAAGTGACCAGGGAGAAGACGAAGTCTCCAACAGCAGAGTGTATTTTTCAATTGTACACGGAAGTTATGTATATTTCAACAAGAAGCGTTTTAAACAAAAATTATGTACAATATCTCGAATTTATACAAGTAACCAAAAAGTGTACAATCACATTGTTACGTACTCAACACGGCTCCCCCCTAGAGGTCCGGAGAGACAACCGGGAAATGATAAGTAAAACTATGAAGTAAATAATAATAGTAATAGCAACTTTTGGATAAAAATAGGGATATATTACAACATGCATAAACGCGAGAAGGTATGTGAATCATGTAAAGTCTGAAAGCATATACAATGAGTTCAGCAATAAAAATTGAAAGAGAAAGTCATGTCACTTAAATTTGCACTAACCATGAACATAGATTTTTAATGTATAAAGAAAAATATGTAAATACACAGTATTTAAGGAGGGGAAAGAAACATTTAAAAAAATATGGATTAAAGATCAATAGTTTTTGGAAAGGACAATACCTGTTTTTTAGGTGAGGTACATATAAATAAATAATAGTGATAGTAACATCAAAGTTTACGACGAAATACTAACCGTCATGATGATAATGTCTAAACGAAAAAGATAATAATAATTTTTAATTATTTTTCTTTTGTTAGTCCTCAAAATGAACGTAGCGAGCCGGTTTACTGATTTGCCGACCACTACGTGTGTGATATGGAGGGAGGATAAGACTTGGTGCCGGTGGAGGGGATTCGGATGTTTGATTATTTGATTGCGCAGCTGCCGATGTAGATTCGAAGTCGTTGTCGGTGTATGCGGGTTTGATTCGATCAATTGAAACAGTCTCTCGTCTTCCATTCTTGTTCACTGTAAAGTGTTTGTCTGAACGTTTAATAACTTGAAAGGGTCCTTCGTATGGAGGTTGCAATCCTTTTCTGATGGCGTCGACTCGAATGAAGACGAATTTGCAAGTTTGTAGATGTTTGTTGATCTGATCTCTTCGGGGAGATTGTCGAGGTGCTGTTGGTTGAAGTTGAAGCATTTGTCTAGTTAATCGGTTAGTGAAGTCGGCAATGTTCACGTCTGTGGAATCGGCTGAGGGGACTAGCTGTCCAGGCAAGGTTAGGTTGGTGCCATAGACAAGTTGAGCCGGTGTACATCCTAAATCTTCTTTGATAGTAGAACGGATACCAAGTAAAATCAAAGGTAAGTATTCACTCCACTTAGATGTATCATTCTGCGCCATCAGGGAGCTTTTCAGTTGTCTGTGGAATCTTTCCACTAGACCATTCGCTGCCGGATGATAGGCTGTTGTGGAGATATGTTTCACTCCCAGAAGTCTCGTCAGTTCGCGAAAGAGTGTCGATTGGAATTGAGGACCGCGGTCGGATGTAATAGTAGTTGGTACACCGTAGTTTGACACCCAACGGTCGAGAAAAACTAAAGCAACGTTTTCAGCAGATATGTCGTTTAAGGGGCATGCAATAGCCCAACGAGTAAATCTATCAATCGCTGTCAGGATATGTGTATATCCCCTTGATGTTGGCAATGGTCCCACGATATCTATATGGATATGCTGAAATCTCCTTTCGGGTAATTTAAACGTCTTCGGGGTTGTAATAGTGTGGCGGTGTACTTTGGAGCATTGGCATTGGATACATTCTCGTGCCCATCTCCGAATGTCAGAGTTCATTTTAGGCCACACGAAGCGTTCGCTGATCAGTCTGACCGTGGCGCGTACTCCAGGGTGAGAAAGCGAATGTAAATGTTCGAACAATGCTTTTCGGCAACTGAGAGGGACAAATGGACGATTAGTGCCGGTAGATACATCGCAGACTATGGTTGCATCTGATAAGGGGATAGGCACATCTTTGAGCTGTAAGGAAGAGTTTCTGCGGCAGGTTTGGAGTTCAACGTCATCTTTTTGTAATTGAGCCATACGATCAAGACTGATGTCTACCGACGTTTGGAGCTGGTTAATGTCACTTCTTGAAAGAGAATCGGCTACCACGTTCGCATCCCCTTTGATGTACTGAATGTCGGTTGAAAATTGGGAGATATAATCCAACTGTCTGGCTTCTCTAGGGGAGTGTTTATCGAGTGAAGTAGTGAAAGCATGACACAGGGGCTTGTGGTCAGTAAAAATAGTGAAATGCCGGCCCTGTAGTAAGTAACTGAAATGCTTCACTGCAAGATATATGGCCAGCAATTCTCTCCCAAAAGTGCTGTATCGTGTCTGAGCCGGTTCCAACTTCTTAGAAAAGAATGCGAGTGGGGTGACTTCGCCCTTCATCTTTTGTTGTAATACTGCCCCTACAGCTACTTGGGAGGCATCTGTGCACAAAATAAGCGACGCTTCGGGGTTGATATGGGATAGCATAGTGACTCTGGATAAGGCATCTTTTGCGTTGCAAAATGATTCGCGTGCTTCAGCTGACCACTGAAACTTTTTAGGATCATTTTTAAGGAGGTCGGTTAACGGCTGGACGATGGAGGCACACGAAGGAATGAAACGCCGATAGAAATTAAACATCCCCAAAAAACGTCTGACCTTCTTGAGTGAATCTGGTTCGGGGAAGTTTTTGATGGACTCTATCTTTTCCTCCGTAGGCGTAATACCATTCGCGGTTATGTGGTGTCCCAGAAACTGTATAGAGGAGACACCGAATATGCACTTTTTGGGGTTAATGACGACTCCATATTGCTCAAATCGTTGAAATAAGATGGTGAGGTGATCAGTATGTTCTTCGGGCGACGAGCTAGCAATTAAAACGTCATCGATATATACAAATACAAAGTCCAAACCTTGTGTGACCTGATCCATGAAACGTTGGAAGGATTGTGCTGCGTTCTTTAGGCCAAATGGCATGCGGAGAAATTCAAACAAACCGAAAGGTGTGATGATGGCCGTTTTTTCGATATCCTCTTGGGCAACTGGTATTTGGTGATAGGCCCTGACCAAGTCTACTTTAGAAAAAATGGTTTTTCCGTGTAATGTCAGGGAGAAATCATGAAGATGAGGAATAGGATAACGGTCGGGAACTGTGGCATTGTTTAAATGTCGGTAATCCCCACATGGCCTCCAATCATGATCAGCTTTAGGCACCATGTGTAAGGGCGAAGACCAAGGACTATTGGAGGGTCTGATGATGCCGAGCTGCATCATGTGTTCAAATTCTGCCTTGGCTGCTGCCAATTTGTCCGGGGGTAATCTACGGGGACGAGCACGAACTGGTTGACCCGTAGTAACTATCTTGTGAGTAACTGTGTGAGGGACGTCCTCGATGTTGTACGACGGCTTAAGAATTTTAGGGAAACGGTGAAGTAGGGAGGAAAAAGGGCAATCTGCTGGTCTTTCAATACTGATATTATAGACAGAATAGCTGGAGATAATTCCATGGATCTTTAGATGGGTGTTGTTATCAATCAGTTTTTTATTGTTGACGTCAACTAACAGGTTGAAATTACTCAAGAAATCTGCTCCGAGGATGGCGTGACTGACGTCGGCTACTATGAAAATCCATGTGAAACGCCGACGTAAACCTAGATCCAGTATGAGGGATTGCTCTCCATACGTCTGTATGCTTGTGTGGTTAGCTGCCCGGAGAGACAGTTTTCCGGGTGTCCGTGTAGATCGCCTGGATAGTGAAGGAGGGATTACGCTAACTTCTGCTCCCGTGTCTACCAGGAATAAAGTGTCTGAAGTTTTATCCTTCACATAGAAGAGGCGACTTGTTTGCTTGCCAGTAACAGCTGTCGCCATCACTGTCTGGCTGAGGCGTTTCCCTGAGCCTGGTTGGCTTCGCTAAAGCTGCACGGTTTTACACATTTCAGGGCATGACGTCCAAACTTCCAGTGATACCAGCATATATTGCTATCCCGAGAAGACGTGTAAGAACGCTGTCGTGAGAAGGATCGTCGTCGTGATGGTGACCTTCTTTGTGAACTCCGTCTCCGGACTTGTCGATCAGACTTATTAGTTTCCAACTTGTCAATCCTTGCCGCTAAGTCTGCAATGGCGGCGAGTATCGGTGTGTCTGCCGTGGGTGTGGAATGACACGGTGTGGCACTATCAGATGCTACGTGACTTATGGTGTTATCGGATAAAACATCCAAAATACTATCTGCCATGTCACTTAGTTGGTCTAAGTCATACGACTTTCCTGAGATGATTAAAATTTGCTGGACATTTCTAGGTAAACGTTGCAACCACATCTGTTTCAGCACTACCTCGTCTACTTTATGATGTCCGATTAACTGGCGCATGTGCCTGAGCAGCTGGGATGGTTTACGTGGGCCTAGTTCACAGCCTGTGAGCAATTGTTGGATTCTTTTCTCATCCGACAAACTGGTACGTTGTATGAGGAGGGCTTTAAGTTTATCAAATTGATGTTCCGTCGGAGGATCTTCGATGAAATCGCTGATTTCTGTCAATACTGACGGAGGGAGTTCTGCCAGCACCATACCATATTTGGCTATTTGGGACTTAATGCCCCGTGCTTCTAGCAACGGTTCAATTACCGCAAACCAAATCCTTGGTTCTGCGAAACCGTATTGGGGTAAACGAAAATCAGTGATGGCATTTATTGTGGCATTTGTCTCGCTATTAGTTGTCTGCTCGTTTGATGTACCGGACTGAGGTGATGACATTATGAATATGAGGTTATTGGTGCAAATTAGGATACAAATATAAACCACACACAAAATCACAATGAATATACAAAATAGCAAAAATAAGAATATGAATATGCCAAAATAATCCGTGTTCTTATCGGGCTCACCAATTAATTTGTAGGGGACTAATATTAGAGTTCACTAACATTCCAAGTATAAAAGTAATAATCCAAGTCAGTGGAGTGTTAAATCACAATATATTACCAAAAATACAGTGACGAGTTATAGCAACAAAAAGGATTACTTGTATATAAAGTCTAAGTCCTCGGCTACAAATTAATTATATAATCCACGGGCACGTTAATTGTTTGGACTGCGTCTGCTGTAGCTGCTGTGTTCCGGTTGTAGAAATGTCTTCGGTTGAGAGTAGTAGGCTCCTACAATAAATCCGAAGTATACAACACGGTGTGAGTGGAGCAAGTAAGCAGAAGTGACCAGGGAGAAGACGAAGTCTCCAACAGCAGAGTGTATTTTTCAATTGTACACGGAAGTTATGTATATTTCAACAAGAAGCGTTTTAAACAAAAATTATGTACAATATCTCGAATTTATACAAGTAACCAAAAAGTGTACAATCACATTGTTACGTACTCAACACGCCCGTTTTCGTATTTACAAGACTCCTCGGCTATTTTAACTGCTTTTAAGTCTTCTACAGAACGACCCTTCCCTGGGACACCGCAGTCACAAAACTCCTTGTCATACATATTTTAATCATAGTTTCTAGTTTGTCCCCATCGTTTGCAACTAATGATGATATGTGGACTATGGGTATATGTCCTCTCACTGTCCATCCCAGTGGTGTTTTTGTCGCAAACAGATCATCTCTACCTCCAAATCTCTCTTCTAATACCTTGTGAGCTTCTGGCACCCTACATCCAATGAGTACTCTCACTCTTCCATCTTGCAATGTTGGAAGAGGTATGTCACACAGGTATGGCTTACCAACAACCGTTTCACGACTAGGTACTATAGCTTCGCCAAGTTTCATACTGGAGGTAGTGTAAGCAGTATCCACTTCCACGGTCTCCCCAGTAGCCAAGGATTCTAACTGAAATGACACTCGCTCACATACTACTGTTTTCGAAGAATTGTAAGTATTTACAACCAAGGGTTGCTTTGGGCCTTTAATACACAAGCAACCAGCCAGTTCAGCATCTATCAATGTAACGTCTGAACCATAATCCAACAATACATAAGTCTCTACTGAAGATTTCGGTCCTTTCACCTTAACTGGTAATACCCCTAAGAAAACTTGTGGGGTGTCAAGGGGTCTAGAGATACTATTACAATTAACCGAAATCCCAGGTTGGTTCACTGTCCTCAGAAGTGGGTGCATATCCGTTAAACCACTACTTCCTTTGTTTGTCGCCTTACAAATCCACTTTGTATGCCCAATCTTTAAACAACTGAAACACAGCCGCTTCTGCTTTGCCATTTTTAACCTTTCTACGGGTGACATAGCGATAAAGCGATTACAGTCACTCAATTGATGCATGTTATGGCAAACAATACACTCATCCTTTCTCGTTGTGTCTTGAGACTTCACCAAAAATGCCTTTCTTATATTCACTGGTTCCTTAGGTTCTAACTGAGAATGCAAAATGCTGGCGAATTTGCCCATCGCCTGGTTGACACCGTCCTTCACCAGTCTCAGAATATCATCAAATTTTGGCTCGATATCCTCTTCCTCCATACGGGAGCTCATCCTCACCCACATCCTTTGCAGTCGAGTAGGTAGGCGTCTTGCTATTACTTCTAGTATAAAACTCGAGTTGAGGTCACTCATGAAATTCATCGAAATCAAGGTATCCTTATAAGTCATAAGATTGTCTAGAAACTCAGTAAGTGCCTTGGAGTCATCTCGAAGTTGGCTGCCGTTACCTTAGACAGCTTCGTATACGTTCCGTAAATCATTGAAGGTCTTCCAAACCTTTGACGTAATATGCTCAGAGCCTCATCGTAGCCCTCTTTTGGCTTCATAAACTTACAACACTGTATAGCTCTTGCAGCAATTCCAGTGCAATATCTCATCAAATACATCAACTTCAATTCATCATTTAATAAAATACCACTCAACATGATCTCAAACTCCTTTACAAATTGTAAATAATCAGCTGGGTTTCCATCGAAACACCGTGGTTCAAATCTAGGGAGTTTGATGTTCCTATTATCCCTGAACGGCGAAACAATAACATCAACCATGTCATGCTTAACATCAGACACATCGTTACAATTAACAGACAAGTCACCATGACTTACTTTCCTGTTTGCATCCAAGACACTCTGTCCCTTCTTTGACCCAGGCATCGTTGAACTTGACCCAATTCCAAAAATGTTCCAGATATTGCTTGTTCAAAGAGGACTTGACCGGCACCAGGAAAAATGAACGGCGACTATACAAACTTTCACCAACTGTTTGAATCCGCCAGAATCTGTTTCTCCCGTCAGAAACTGTCAATCACGTCTCATAAACCGTCAATGCCCAGCTCTTGCTACGCTCGGACCCACGCTGTTCCTTGAAGTTTCTCAGAAACGCTTAGTAATAACGGGCGAATAACCAAAAGACCGATTGGTGACTCGAGGATTCTTTATTGTTACACCAACATATAAACAATGTTATAACTAGGGTCTGTGAACAAATATTACAATAATAAATCACAATATTACTTCTGACGATGTTTTGCTCTTCTTTCTGAACAGAGATCGATGAGACGATGACTGTCGTATTGATGCCTCCGCGAAAATTGGGGAAGTTGATTTTGAGCAAACAACCATGAATTGATCGTTCAATCTTCAACTGCATTGACAGTCGGTCAAATGAAAAACTGGTATTGGTTCATAAAATCTTTGACAGTCAGCTAGAAAAACTACTACATATATGACTGCAAATCTTTGTTACTGGCACAGATGCATTCACTCTGTGTAATCTCACGTGTCTATTCCACTCTTGTTTTTCCTTGTCACTATTTATTCTTTCTCACATTTTCACCCGGTAAACTTCCATTTAGTTTTATGTCTCTACCTTTGTGTACTAAATGGAATGTGGTAAATTAAACAGGTGGACTTCTCTGCTAACTCATACTGAAAGCTAGTCAGAATGACACAGCCTAGGCATAACTAAATGCGAAACATTGAATGATGATCTCCAAAATTTCAGCAAATGATAAGCGCAGTTCTTAATCTTGTTCTTTTCTAAATGATAAATAGATACCTTTCAGTAATCTCTTCATCCACACGGGACTCGTCTCCTACTTTGCAAGTGTTTTTTGTGCTTTGTCACTTTTGTGCTAAGCTTTCAGTCAGCATATGCTGTTGTTGTTGACTCAGGACCTTGATTACTTAAGTTGAATAAGGTTTCAGGCGTGCAAACACGGGTCCTGGGTAGTTGATTGGTTGCATTTTCATTTCTCAAATGGAATTCAGCATACTATATATTAGGGTAAATCTTCCGCCTCACTTGCTGAAGCTGGTGTTCCTCAGGGTATTTATATCTCTCCTTTTCTTTTTTCTCTCTCGTCTTACATGACCTTTCTCTTTCTAATGGGAACAACTTCATCAAATACGCTGGTGGTCTGACCGTCTCACTTCCTGTCATGTTACAGTGTGACTGTAGCAAACCTAACTGCTTCCTGTCTGTAGTCTAAGGTACATGGTCTTACGTTAAATCCCTCTAAATGTCAGTCAGTCAACTTTCCCTTCACTCATAAGCGTGAACTACAAGAATTGTGTTGTTCACAAGATGCTTGTATCAAAGAGGGCACTGAAAGAGAAATTAAGTCTAACATAAAATACCTTGGAGTAGTTCTATCCTCTGGTCTTCCTTGGTTATTCTATATCTTGTCGATTTCCAAGGAAAAAGTCAGTCTAGCTTACCCCGTTATGTAGTCAAGACAGTCAGGAATCATTCAACCTGTATTTTTACAATCTGTTAGCTCTTACATTGGTCTTTGCTGCTCCCCCTTATTCTTTCCTGAATTACTCAAAAACGATATGTCGTATTGTGCAAGGTATCAAGGTTGTCAGTAGGGCAAGTGGTGTACAATTTAGTGATCTCGTTAATGCATTTGTCAGCAAAGTCTCATAAACCGTTAATGCCCAGCTCTCGCTACGCTCGGGCCCACGCTGTTCTTAGAAGATTTCTCAGAAACGCTTAGTTATAACGGACGCAAAAACCAAAACACCGATCTGCCGCTTGAGATTTCTTTATTGTTACACCAACATATAAAAGGAATAAGCGAACTAAGCAAACTAAGGTCTGAAAACAAATATTACAATAATAAATCTCTGTATTACTTCTGACGATGTTTCAATCTTCTTTCTGAACAGCGACCGATGAGACGATGACTGTCGTATTGATGCTTCCGCGAAAATTGGGGAAGTTGATTTTAAGCAAACAACCAAGAATTGATCG